GCCTCTTGCCCCCAACAGTCTGCGTCCTCATTTTACCCAGCTCGGAAGGATGGAAGGCTTGAAGCCAACCTTGAGCCAGTGAGGATCGAACTGCCAAATTGCAAGCAGCCAGCAGTCAGCAGAAGTAGCCTGCAGTACTGCACCCTAACCACTGCGCCACCGCAGCTTTACCTGTGCCACCACGGCCCAAGTAGCCTTTTGCCTTATAACCACAATTGGGATCAGAACTTGAAATAGCAATAGCACTTAAGACTTATATACCGCTTCACAATACTTTACAGACCTCTCTAAGCGGTTTACAGAATCTGGATATTCCCTCAACAATCAGGGTCCTCATTTCACTGACCTCGGAAGGATGGAAGGCTGAGTCAACCTTGAGCCTGTCAGAATCGAACTGCTGGCAGTGGGCAAAGTCAGCCTGCCATACCACCTTCTAACCACTGGGGTGAGAAGGCAGTATGGCAGGTTGCCACCAGGGTTCTCTAAGCAATGCAGTCACTTAAGTACATTTGTGCCTAATTTTACGACCTTGTTAAGTGAATTAAACAGCCATGAAGAACATCCTTGACCTTGTTTCTTGGAAGCCACCTGGGAAAGAGACTGTCATGTGACTCTGGGACGCTGCAAGCATCATAAATACATGCTGGTTGCCCAGCACCCAACGTGTGAATGTAGGGATGCTGCCATGGTCATAAGTGTGAGGACTGGTCATAGATCATTTTTTCATTTAACTCTTGTTAGATGAATAGTTGTAAGTCGAGGGCTAGCTGTACCCCGTTTTATTTAAACTAACCAAGCTAGTAGTCAGTAACACAAACATGTCTTGGAACAATTAAGCCTGCACCTCACTTTCCCCTAGAACAGTGGTCTCCAAACTTGGCAACTTTAAAACTTGTGGATTTCAACAAGAGGTAGCTATGCTGGCTAGAGAATTCTGGGAGTTGAAGTCCACAAGTCTTAAAGTTGCCAAGTTTGGGGACCCCTGCCTTAGAATAATAAACGCAATGAAAATCTCTGCACTGTTAAATCAAAGCAAGCCTCGCTGAGATAAAAGAACCTCATTCACATATGAGGGTTATAAAGATAGCTTTAAAAAGCTCCAGATAAATAGATAAAACAAGTGTGTACAGTAGGGGGCGCCCAACTTCTGGGCCGCAGACCGTTTCTTTGAAACCGGGCAGCAGGAGAGATGGGCAAGCCTGCCACACACACACACACACACACACACACCACGCGGGGCTGCCAAGCTTGAAACTGCTGGTGTGCAGGACTCATTGAGTCATTCTGTACCAGCAACAAACCCCAATAATGCCACACCCCCTGCTTGAAACACAAGGCTGCTATGTATTTGTTTATTTATTTCACATCTCACCTTTCATTATCTTTACGAATAATTCAAGGCAGCCAACATACTGAACACACCTTCCTCCTATTTTCACACACACCCACATAATCAATCTCCGGTACGTATTATACTGCAGATATTGTCAATAGCTGATCCTCAAGCGAGCCATAACACAATCTTTACTAACTTGATATCCTGCAGATGAGATATCAAGATACCTGATATTTTCATACTTGAGATTCATTTTGGCTGGAAGGTTTTGTAGTAGCCCAAAGGACAGGCATCCACACAAAGAGATCTAATTTTTCCAGTCCGTATTTTAGTTGCCCTACTGACTGCAGCAGGAAGTCATGAGACTGAATATCTGCTCTTGGTGTACCCGGTCATTTTTTATGACTAGATCCACACGTTCGGTTAAATCATAACCCTAAACCATAATTTATTAACTGAATCACAATAGGTTGGGCTTGCTGACCTCAAGAATCTTTTGAGGTATGTAAACATGACTTATGGACAACAGCATCTGAGATAACCCCTTGGTTTCCATATTGTAAGAACCCAATCATTATCATCATCATCATCATTCTAGCCATTGTCTATCCACTGCAAGATGAAGGCCTCTTCTGCATGTTTCCAACCCATACGGTCTTGAGAGAACTCAGTCAATTACGGCTTAATCAACAATGATCTAAGACAAAGCAGACCCAAGAGTAAACTTCCTTGCTATCACAACGAGCAAGCCCCATTGAATGCAACAAGACTTACTTCTGAGTAGTCACAGAGAACTGCATTTTCCCTCTGAAATTAAACTCCCTGTTCTTTTTTTTCCTAGCAATCTCCTTATTTCCAGGAACTACAACCCGTAGGTGGGATATAAATATGCGCTCATTTTCAATGGAAGAGCAGGAATGCGTCACCATGTAGCCGAGTTGTTACTTGTCTCACCATGCTATGATCAAAACAGGGCATCGGCCCAACCTCCCTCCCTGTGAATTTCCAACATTCTCTCTGCCTTAGCTTCCTTAGTTGTGCATCCCTCTGCGTGCTAAATTTAGAGGACTTTGCAATACACAGACACACTGTGGCACCCAAGCATCAAAGTTGGCAAAGAAAGGCAAAACAAGGCTATTAATCCATTCTCCGAGAAGGCCAAAGACACACCCCGCAGTGGAAGGAAATACACCAGCCAGCCAAGACAACATTAAAATTGCTGTCTCTGCGGTTTCGTTTCTGATCTTGATAATTGGATCTTGTTTTGATTTCCCGCCATTTCCCTCATCTCTTCTCCTGGGCAGCAGACAAGCGGAGAATCACCAGCTCAAATGAAAAGGAAGCCATCTAATGAGAACCTATTAATATTGATTATCCTAAAAGTGTTACAGGATCAGATTTTTTGGGGGAAGCAACTTAGCACTGTGGAAACCTGGCTTTCCTGCAGCCTAAAGTTCCCGAAATAATTATATTATCTAAAGGGCAAGGCGTAAATAAGGACATTAAGTTTAGCTTTAAACGTTATCTAATGACATTTCTGGAAGGCCCTAGTAGTCAGACAATTCTAATCTCCATGATTATATTACTAGAAGTCAATCACCCAGATTGGAATAACCAAGCTGCTCCGATGTAAGACCAGATCAAATTTTATTATTAAGCACTTTCAAGTTTATATTGACTCTGGCCCACAAGTTTTTTTCTCCCTCAAGAATGATCTATCGTTAACCTGGCCAACTTGGCACCTCTTCAAAATGGCTTGAAATTCTGGGAGCTGAATTTCTAGATACTTAGGCAACACTTGGCTGGATAAGGCCAATATATCAGAATTTATCATTTGGAAAAGTAACCAGTCGGAAGTTATTTACTAATTTTTTACTCAAAACATACCCGATCAGGCTAAAAACTCAGCAACTTTGTATGTCCCAAATTTCTGAGTTTTATTGGGGTTCAATGAAATTGGTTTTAAGGCTCTTGAATTATGGTAGGAAGACCCAGAGCATAGGGGATTCAGCATATTGTGCGAGCTCATAAAATAGTCCAATTTGGTAACTAGAATCAGTCAATTGTGTTCATACAACCAGTAGATCTATCCTAGTTTCCAATAAAAACTTGAATCTGGGTGTCCTTAACCACATCCTCACGTTGTTCCTTTCTGCTCAAAACCTATTTGCTTTTGATATCCTTTCCCTGAACTGAGATTATTACAGCAGCCAACACCATTAATGTACTTATCTAGGAATTATGGCCAAGAAGTCTGAAAAAAACAGAGCTGTGGGTCAGCTGCCTTAAAGAGAGTTTCAAAGTGTACAGTTGATTTAGCGACACACAGATGAAGTTTGTTTTTTTGCTTTCAACACTAACACAACATAAGCAGCTAAAACATGCAGGGAACTTTTTTGGAGGTGTGTGGGGGTGGATAATTTTATTGCACCTGACCTAGGTCAAATCAGGCAGGGGAGCACAGCACAAATTCACATAAACATGTAGTCTAACTATTGAATGAACTCATCTTTTGGGTTGTAACAAACACCAAAGGAGACTGTCCCAAGCACAAATAGGCAAGGTTACACAATGCATTAAGCCAGGGGTCTCCAACCTCAGCTACTTTAAGACTTGTGGACTTCAGCTCCCAGAATTCCTGAGCTAACATGACTGGAGGAGGAATTCTGGGAGTTGAAGTCCACAAGTCTTAAAGCGGTCAAGTTTGAAGAGCCTTGAGTTTATGCATAGCCCGGGAGGGGGGAATCCACCAGGAGGGGGGAATCCACCAGTCGCTTATTGTGCAACCCCCATTAGTAGCCCCCAAGTATTGCAGTTTTAACCTGCAAGCTGAGGCTATGAAGAATTCATTCATTCATGTGCGCCTTCCTAATGTTTTTATATCGCACATTCCATTTCTATATTGAACAGTACATTTTCTAGGTATCCAGTGTTGAAATGTAAACATCATAATTATAATCATATCAACATACATATATTAGATATCAATCATTATTAAAAATAAAGTATACTATCTTCCATATAAGCATCAATTATAGAACCATCAAAGTCTTTACTAATCGGTTTCTTTTTCCCCACATAGTCCTCATTTTCACATAAATCCACTCATCTTAACCTCTGTAGCTATCCACTAGCCATTTGTAAAAAGGATTCCCGTGTCATAAAATACTCCAAATCTTCCTGGCATGGGGGGAAAAAACCGCAAGGAGTTTGTTTTGAAGACGTTTCATTACCCAACGAGGCAACACCATCCGCCCTACTAGGGAGACAGTGCTGAACATCCCCGTAACTCTGCCAATCTCATTGCACGCATGTTGTACTCTGACAATAAAGGTTGCGATTGAATGGAATTGGACTCTGGGGAGTTCATTTAGGTGGAGCTCTCGCCTCACCAATCAGGAGGCTGCGAGTTCGATCCTTAATATTTGGACTAGGCTCTCCTTCTCGAGCAGGGGGGTCGGACTAAATGACCTCCAAGGTCCCTTTCCAACTCTTTGTTATTCGAGGTCTAAATTCAGAATAACGAGCTCTGTACGCACCACCTCCTGTCCCCATCTCTCTCTCTCTCTCCTGGCCACCTTCCCCTCTCGGAAAGCCGCTCCGTGAGAAGCAGCCCCCTCAGACTCGTAAAGAAGGAAGGGAAACGGGGGGGGGGCTTGGCTACCTTCCAACAGCAGCGCCTCCAAGGTCCCGCGGTGATCTTTGGGGCTTTAGTCCGGCACCGGCTATTTACAGCAGCAGCAGCAGATGGGTAGGTTCGGAGTTCTCCGCACAACACTTCAACCGCAGGCGGCGATGGCTTGGGCTCGTCAAAGCTTCCAAGCCCGGGACAGGTGAGCAAGAGATCCCGCGCCCTGAAGCCTCCCCCTCAACCCCCGCTTGGAAGCCGCAGGAATCTCGGATCGCCGGAGAGAGCGCACGGCTGCTTCGCCTAGCGACCTCAAATCAGGAAAAGGCGACGCCGAGCCTTACAAGCGCAGCCCGGGGGGTCGTTCGCTCAAGTCCAAGCCGCCGCCGCCGCGCACCTGGGCTCCGGGAGAGCGCAGAGGAGCGAGCAGCCCTCCGGAGCTGCGGGACGGCTGGATGCTGTTGGCTGCGTTCGCCCGAACCTTCCGTCTCCTTCCAGCCGAGCAGCACCAGCAGCCGGACTACCTCTTCCCTGCCCGACCTCCGCTCCAATGAACCCCTCGACCGCATCTGGCCGGCACTATAGTAGCGTCGACGCCCCCTCGCCTTGACTCCGCCCCTCCAGAATTCTCTCTCGCCCCCCGCCCCCAAACCAACCAATCCCAGCCCTGGAATTGTCCACTTTGGGGTCGGGGCGGGGGGAGGGCGGGGCCGCAGCAGGAGAGAAGTTTAAAGCGGAGGAGGGAGGGGTGCGTGATGGGAGTTGCTTGTCCGGAACTTGGCTTTTCCCATGAAGTTGAAGGTCGAATAAAAGTGGTCAGTGTCTTTTTTTTTCTTAAGACGGGGCCCGGTCTGCGTCTCTTCTCATGGTCCCCTCCTGCACTTTTGGGTCGCCAAAATGTTGGCTAAACAGAACGAGAGAGTTAGAAGGGACCTTGGCTTGGAGGTCTTCTAGTCCAACCCCCTTGCTTGGGCAGGAGACCCTCTATCCAAATCAGGAGACCCCCAAACTTGGCAACTTTGAAGACTTGTGGAATTCAACTCCCAGAATTCTCCAGCTCAGTTAGCTGGCTGGAGAATTCTGGGAGTTGAAGTCCACAAGTCTTAAAAAGTTGCCAAGTTTGGAGACCTCTGATCCAAATATGGTGGTTCTTCAAAGCTTCCAGTGTTGGAGCATTTGCAACTTCTGCAGGGAAGTCTGACTCTGTGGTTTTTTCCCCAACACCCCCCCCCCCCAAAAAAACTTTAACCTTAGACTGTCTACTAATGACTTCACCCCTTTCCTAAGAGGCCTGCATAAGTGCACCAAAACATGCCTACCGTCCCTGTCCTATTGTTTCTTTTATATATATTTTTTATTTTTCTTATATGTATCCATGTATTCATAACTATGTTTTTACTTATACCTATTATTTTTTAAGCAATTACAAAACCAAATGAATGAATGAATGAATGAATAAAATAAACAAGTTGTTCCACTGATTAATTGTTCTCACTGTCAGGAAATTTCTCCTTAGTTCTAAGTTACTTCTCTCCCTGATTAGTTTCCACCCATTGCTTCTTGTCCTGCCTTCAGGTGCTTTGGAGAATAGCTTGACTCCCTCTTTGTGGCAGCCCCTGAGATATTGGAACACTGCTATCATGTCACCCCTAGTCCTTCTTTTCATTAAACTAGGCATACCCAATTCTGGTTTACCAAAGGGGGGAAACGTCCTGATATGTCATGTGATGCTGCCATGATAACATGAGTTGGACAGTCCTAAGCTAATAGGACAATATTTCCATCAATTCCAATTTCACTCCTTCATGTCAGCCACAGAGAAGAAGTCTCCCATTGCTTCAGGGGAGAAGTTGTATGGTCTTCTCAGTCTAGTCCAGGGGGTCTTGGTGTAGACTGATCATGTGACCACGTGTGGTGTAAAGTTCATCAAAGCCCCACACCTGTTTAATGAGCATTATCATGCAAATGAAAAGGGGCAGAGCTTCAATCACATGCTTATGGCTGCCATCTTGACTTGGTTGACCAAACTTCCCTGCATAAAGTTGTTCCACTGGCTAATTGTTCTCACTGTCAGGAAGTTTCTTCTTAATTCTAGGTTGCTTCTCTCCTTGGATAGTTTCCACCCATTGCTTCTTTGTCCTGCCTTCAGGTGCTTTGGAGAATAGGTTGATCCTCTCTTTTTTGTGGCAACCCCTCAAATATTGGAACAGTTATAATGTCCTTTGTTTCATTGAACTTGACATGTCCAGTTCTTCTTATGTTGTAGCCTCCAGTCCCCTAATCTTCACTGCTGCTCTTCTCTGCACTCTTTCTTATAGTCTTGACATTTTTTTTTACATCACAGAGACCAAAACCGTATGCCGTATTCCAAGTGCGGTCTTAACCAAAGCGTAATAGAATGGTATTAACACTTCGTGTGACGTTGGGTTGCCCTCCTGTATTCCTTCTTGAGTCAACGTGTTGATACCATGTGGGCAAGATGCCTAGTTATAAAACCAAGAAATATGCTGGTACTTGAAACCTCTTCTGTGTGTTGATCAGCCTGACGGTTGTGCCCAGAACTTGAGCAATTCTGTTTTGAGTGGGAATTCATTATCAGCTATTGAAGCAAAAAGGTCATTGAATCATTCCTTCTGGTGGGAAATGCCTACAGCTCTGGCATGATGTAGCTCCTATGATGTGGATTTCCTCAGAACTGTCAACAGGCTAAGGAGAGAGAGAACTTTCTTAAGAATTGCAACTGGGGAGGAGAGAAAAATTATATTCTCAGTGGGACTGTTGGTGCTGAATCATATAGTAGGTGATTGATGTATAAATAGATTGTTAGTTGTGGTTGTATCACCAGCTGAAACAATAACCCATAATGGCTTCCAAGTGTTACACTTGTTAGAGGTAACTGTACTGCAGGTTGCGATTACATCACAACAATTTCCAGTCAAAATAGGATTGACTAAATTGGATTCATTCAATGAACCACAGACAATTGGGCCATTAGATGAACATGCTGTCCTAATTTAGCCATTATAATATGGGAAGCATCGCTTATACTTCTTGTGAAGCCAGACAATGATAGTTTATTTAGTAAATTAGTTAAAAAACAAGATTTAGTGTGTTGGGAGAATACAGACGTCATATTTTATGGGCATTCTCTGTTGAAAATGCTGTGTTTCCACATTGCTTTAAATCTTAGCATTTAAAGTTTGTTCAGTTTCTGGTTTAACACTCTATTTGCAATACTTGCTAACCCATAATTAATACATGCAAGAGGCCCTCCACTTATGACTATTCATTTAAAGATTAATAGATAAACAGAGTTGGAAGGGATCTTGTAGGGTCATCTAGTCCAACCCCCTGCCCAAGCAGGAGACCCTACTACACCATTTCTGACAAATGGCAGTCCAGTCTCTCTTGAAAGCCTCTAGTGATGAAACTCTTACAACTTCTGGAGGCAAGCTGTTCCATTGGTTGATTATTCTTCCTGTCAGGAAATTCCTCCTTATTTCTAGGTTGAATCTCCCCTTGTTCAGTTTCCATCCATTATTCCTTGTCTGGCCTACAGGAGCTTTAGAAAATAGCTTGACCCCTTCCTCCCTGTGGCAGCCCCTCAAATATTGGAAGACTGCTATCCTGTCTCCCCTGGTCCTTCTCTTCACTAGACTAGCCAGGCCCAGTTCCTGCAACCATTCTTCATGTTTTAGCCTCCAATCCTCTAATCATCCTGGTTGCTCTTCTCTGCACTCTTTCTAGAGTCTCTACATATTTTTTATAGTGTGGTGACCAAAACTGGATGCAGTACTCTAGGTGTGGTCTTACTAAGGCTTTATAGAGTGGTATTAGTACCTCCCTTGATCTTATCCCCCTGTTAATGCAATTTAGAATTGCATTGGCTTTTTCAGCTGCCGCCACACACTTTTGGCTCATTGAATGAATCCAATGAATACATTCAATGAAGTTTGAATTGAATTGAGTTGAATTCATTCATCTACAACAGTTGCAGTATCCTGGGTCACATAATTGCCATTTGCGACCTTTCTTGCTAGCTCCCCACAGACAAAAGCCAATAGGGAAGCTGGATTAGTTTAATGACTGCAGGAGTGGGATTCAAATTTCTTAACAACTGGTTCTGTGGGTGTGGCCTAATTGTGGGTGTGGCTTGGTGGTCATGTGACTGGGTGGGAGTGGCTTGCTGACTGGGCATGGCTTGGTGGTCACGTGACTGGCTGGGCATGGCTTGTATGTAAATATTGTAAATATTTATGTAAACATTTAATTTTTTATTTAAAAAAAAAGAGCAACTTTTACCCAAAATCAGACAAAGCAAGCAGGTGGATTGAGTTGCTCACAGAATCACAGATTCACTCAGAGATCTACCTTTCTGCAATCTGCTACCTGAGTCTGCACTGAAAAATAGAAGCCTCAGTCCTAAAGATGGTTCAGCTCTGCTTTTAGATTATCTAGAAAGCAAAAAAATCAAACAATTTTCTGCTTTCTAGCTAATCTGAATCTCCCGGCACAGCCGATAGTCGAAACAGCTGATGGTCGGGGTTAAAAAAGGAAAAATAGAAACTTACCAAAAATTAGGCGAAGGCACAAGGCAGGCAAGTTGGATGGCGCACATGCCAGGTAAGAAGTGACTGGGTGCAGCGGGGTGGCGCCAGCCAGTGGAACAATTTGCCGCTTCTCTGAACTGCGCAGAATCATAACAACCGGTTCTATAGGACCGGTTTGACCAGATAGAATCCCACCCCTGAATGACTGCATGATTCACTTAACAGCCATGGCAAGATCATTGGGCGCAACTTGCTCAACCACATAACTCAGCCACAGAGGTTCTGCTCTCAATTATAGTCAAAGACTACCTGTAATTGATTATTATACATCTTGTGACTGCCCTCTGTGATCCTCCCGGCTGGCTTCTAGACAGGGGGAAGCCAGACATGCTTAATGACCGCATGATTCACTTAACAACTGCGGAGATTTGTTTAACCGTGGCAAAAAGTCATGAAATTGGGCATGACTCACTTAACAACCAGATCGCTCAGCCATAAAAATGCTATTTCCAATTGTGGTCATAAGTCAAGGAGTGTAAACCGAGCCAATTGTGCCTTTTGCAACAAATGACAGTTAAACAAAACATGGATTAAGGAAATATCCCGGACATAAAATAT